TTTAAAGCACTAAGCCATGATCTCTCAGTGCTGAGCCTACTCAGTATTAGTCATCTTCTAAAGCAATAACTAATTGACTCCCCAGAATCATCACTGCTCCAATAAATATCCAATTCAGTGCAGCATGGAAGAAACATCAGCATTGGGATACACTGGGTAATTCACTGGACAAAAAAAAAAAAATAAAACAAAACAAAAAACAATGCTAGATCTTGCATTTGATCAATTTTTTATGAAAAGGAAAGCATATTATTTGTACATGAAAACATATTTTGATGGGAGATTAATTTTTTTCATCTCCTTACCCTGTCCTCACCCCTGTCAGCTAGTTTTCTTAGACTTTTCTAGTCCTTCCTCATTCTCCTTTTCTTTCTTTTCTTCCCCTTATTCTGCCTCCCTTACTATCTATTTGCATTCCCTTTCTCTCTCTTGAGACCTGGTACTGGCCGAAACACTGTAACAGGACAAAACAATTCTGTATCACAGGGCTGAAGCTCTTGTCTTTCCCTTTAATATTTGATGAAGACAATTTTTCCTTCTAATCTCATTAATTATAAGTAAGGAAATATTTATTTTCCCCTCTCATTTTGGTTTGCTTTTTCACATTTACTTTTTATTTCCCTTCCTTTCTCCTCCTTTCTACAATTTAAAATTTATCAATCATGTATACTGCAAACTCTAGAAATGAGAAGTATTACACATGTGGGGCTAAGAGCTCAGACATTGTCTACTACCACCTCATCTGCAACAGTCACAGTATCCAGTGGATAACATAATAGACTACAAGTTTACTTGCTCAATTCTGGTTCCTCCTTTTAAAAAATTATCCTTACTGAAGCAGTTCATAATTCAGTTTTACCACCTGTAAGACTATTGGGATACAAATATTTGACATTCCTTCTTTAGTGCAACGAAAGACAGCAAGATTTATTTTCTAATAATTGGCACTCTAGGAAAATGCAAAAATAATATCTTATTGTCTAATCACTATTTGAAATACACCATGTGCAAATATTGTAATTAAGATTTGGTGCAGGAAAAAAATAATAAAATCTAGGTCTTTTTGTTTTGTTTTGTTTTGTATTTTAGCTCATTTCATACTTTGGGAAGTGGACACATTGCATATGTAAAAATCTATTAATTGATACATGATTGTTAAAATGGTATATGTAATTGAAACCAATTGTGAAATTATATTAATCATGTATGCCTGATTCTCTGGTTTCTCAATCCCAGACAGAAGCTTTTGCATTGGAGAAGTTTTACCGTTTCTCAGACACGGTAAATTCACTTTCTTAACTCTAAGTGGAGGAATGTGGTCATCAGTAAGAAAGCAGAGAACATATTCTGCACCCAGGCAGTGTTTGGTGGGGAAACATCCCTTTGCATATGTAAAGCCAAAAAAAACCACCATCGCCATTCAGCTAAGGATACTCTCTTTTTCTAATAATTCCGTTTGTCTTCCCTCACTCAGTAAAAGGATATTTAAATGTTCTTCTTCATCTTATTTAACCAAGGTATTTGATCAGTCAAAAAAACTTTAATATATATTAAACAGAAATATTATACATCCCTTATTATAGCCCCCATAAAAAATGCTTTGACAAAGTAAGTTTCAAAATAAATGGGAAATTTATTTATACAAAAAGTTTGAAAAGCAGCTCCTCTTATCAGAAAATAGAACTCTAAAAATTAGGCAAAAATAAAAAGCTTTGTTTTTTAGAACACATTCTGAATGTTAAGATATGTTAAGATAGTATAGTAAATGAATAATTTTGGTTTTGATAGTGGCATCCATTGATATGTTTGATAAGAAAGAGATCACAAGGATACATGTACAAATTCAGTGATTGAATTTAAACCTATCAAAGCCAAGAATTTAGTCTAGGCAATCCTATACAAATAGTCCAGTCTACTAACTAAAATTTCTGAGCAAAAAAATGTATTTTAAAAAACCTCTGCAGATGATGCTACCACATGCCTTAGTTAAGAATAGACACAGTGTTAGATGAATGGACAATAGACAAAATGTTAGACGAATATTAAAGTAATCTGAATTTTATAGCAGATATCTAGACCCAGTATTATTTTAAAGCACTTAAGTTTTCTTATATTATAATATATAATCTCTCAAGTCTTTTTCTTTCCTACTAGAATTGCATATTTGTTGTCAACAAAGCTAGCTACTTCTTTTTTACATGACCCAGTTACCTTTACTTGATTATTTTGACTGTAAATTTGAAACAGTATTATTTGCATTAAATTTGAATAATCACATATAGTAGCCTCTTTGGGAGAGGTATTTATTTAAATTTCCAGTCACTAAACAGTTAATGCTTATAGGAGCTTTAGTATAAAAGATAAATATTGCTTTATAAAAAATGCAAACAAAGAACTGTGATAAAAAAGCAGGTTTACCTCAGAAACAGTCAATACTGAATTATTTTTTAAAACAAAATTATTTTCAAACAAATTTATTGAAAATTAAATGCATTCCATTTATTTTTATAATAATTGTCATGAAAATTTTGTGTTAATCATTATAATTTTTAAAAGATAATTTTCTGAACCTAATAACTCTCTGGGTTGACCAAATTCATTACCAAAAAACAAACAAACAAAAACTATTTGGAAACAGTCCTATCAATCTAAATCTTTGAATCAACATAATCAAAATGAGTCTAAAAGTTAATTCTGTGCCCTTTCTTTTCATGAGTACTACTGGTTTACCTGGAAAAAAATTTTTTTTAAACTCTAATTTGTCAGAACAGGCAAAATACAATAGCCTCATTATAGAAAGTCTGTCACAGGAGGAGACCTTATACTGATGTAAATATTATTCCTAGAAAAGTTTTTTTAAATATATTTTATTGATTTTTTTTACAGAGAGGAAGAGAGAGGGATAGAGTTAGAAAATCAATGAGAGAGAAACATCATGAGAGAGAAACATCGACCAGCTGCCTCCTGCACAGGAAAAAAAAAAAAAATAAAACAAAACAAAAAACAATGCTAGATCTTGCATTTGATCAATTTTTTATGAAAAGGAAAGCATATTATTTGTACATGAAAACATATTTTGATGGGAGATTTTTTTCATCTCCTTACCCTGTCCTCACCCCTGTCAGCTAGTTTTCTTAGACTTTTCTAGTCCTTCCTCATTCTCCTTTTCTTTCTTTTCTTCCCCTTATTCTGCCTCCCTTACTATCTATTTGCATCCCCTTTCTCTCTCTTGAGACCTGGTACTGGCCGAAACACTGTAACAGGACAAAACAATTCTGTATCACAGGGCTGAAGCTCTGGTCTTTCCCTTTAATGTTTGATGAAGACAATTTTTCCTTCTAATCTCATTAATCATAAGTAAGGAAATATTTATTTTCCCCTCTCATTTTGGTTTGCTTTTTCACATTTACTTTTTATTTCCCTTCCTTTCTCCTCCTTTCTACAATTTAAAATTTATCAATCATGTATACTGCAAACTCTAGAAATGAGAAGTATTACACATGTGGGGCTAAGAGCTCAGACATTGTCTACTACCACCTCATCTGCAACAGTCACAGTATCAAGTGGATAACATAATAGACAACAAGTTTACTTGCTCAATTCTGGTTCTTCCTTTTAAAAAATTAGCTTTACTGAAACAGTTCATTATTCAGTTTTACCACCTGTAAGACTATTGGGATACAAATATTTGACATTCCTTCTTTAGTGCAACGAAAGACAGCAAGATTTATTTTCTAATAATTGGCACTCTAGGAAAATGCAAAAATAATATCTTATTGTCTAATCACTATTTGAAATACACCATGTGCAAATATTGTAATTAAGATTTGGTGCAGGAAAAAAATAATAAAATCTAGGTCTTTTTGTTTTGTTTTGTTTTGTATTTTAGCTCATTTCATACTTTGGGAAGTGAACACATTGCATATGTAAAAATCTATTAATTGATACATGATTGTTAAAATGGTATATGTAATTGAAACCAATTGTGAAATTATATTAATCATGTATGCCTGATTCTCTGGTTTCTCAATCCCAGACAGAAGCTTTTGCATTGGAGAAGTTTTACCGTTTCTCAGACACGGTAAATTCACTTTCTTAACTCTAAGTGGAGGAATGTGGTCATCAGTAAGAAAGCAGAGAACATATTCTGCACCCAGGCAGTGTTTGGTGGGGAAACCCCTTTGCATATGTAAAGCCAAAAAAAACCACCATCGCCATTCAGCTAAGAATACTCTCTTTTTCTAATAATTTCGTTTGTCTTCCCTCACTCAGTAAAAGGATACTTAAATGTTCTTCTTCATCTTATTTAACCAAGGTATTTGATCAGTCAAAAAAACTTTAATATATATTAAACAGAAATATTATACATCCCTTATTATAGCTCCCATAAAAAAATGCTTTGACAAAGTAAGTTTCAAAATAAATGGGAAATTTATTTATACAAAAAGTTTGAAAAGCAGCTCCTCTTATCAGAAAATAGAACTCTAAAAATTAGGCAAAAATAAAAAGCTTTGTTTTTTAGAACACATTCTGAATGTTAAGATATGTTAAGATAGTATAGTAAATGAATAATTTTGGTTTTGATAGTGGCATCCATTGATATGTTTGATAAGAAAGAGATCACAAGGATACATGTACATATTCAGTGATTGAATTTAAACCTATCAAAGCCAAGAATTTAGTCTAGGCAATCCTATACAAATAGTCCAGTCTACTAACTAAAATTTCTGAGCAAAAAAATGTATTTTAAAAAACCTCTGCAGATGATGCTACCACATGCCTTAGTTAAGAATAGACATAGTGTTAGATGAATGGACAATAGACATAATGTTAGATGAATATTAAAGTAATCTGAATTGTATAGCAGATATCTAGACCCAGTATTATTTTAAAGCACTTAAGTTTTCTTATATTATAATATATAATCTCTCAAGCTGCCTCCTGCACACCCCCTACTGGGGATATGCCTGCAACCAAGGTACATGCCCTTGACCAGAATTGAACCTGGGACCCTTCAGTACGCAGGCCAACACTCTATCCACTGAGCCAAACCAGCTAGGGCTCCTAGAAAAGTTTTAACTTGGTTCATCAATGACGTAGGCATTATAGACAATTTTTAATACCTTGCTTTTTCCTCTATGAAGGTTCAAGTGAACCTTTTGTCTATTGTGAAAGAATATAGTTTGCTCTTGTGTGCAAATTTCCCCACCCCACACTGTCATAGCCTGCTGTGTGCACATTACCCACTGCACCTGGTCATACTGCTTCTCTCCAGTAATATTTATGCATGGGTGTATGCATGGCATGGAAGTATTTTGGTTAGAAGTTGCTTTTCCCTTGTATGATATCATTGCATTAGAACTGGAGGGTTATTAAGACATGCCAAAATATTTCTGAACATATGTGATTTGTTGAGAGATGTGGATGATTTGGGATTACTTTAGTGCATTTCATGTAGCTTCTTCTGCATTGCAATATAATGTAATGATGCAATGGTTTGTTGAGAGAAAATGCATTCACACAGTATTCTAGCACCTCCATCTTCCTATTTATCATGGTATTCACTTTTATTTATATACACAGTTGAGATAAACATGGACCATTAGTTTTAGGTTTTGAAAATAATTACCCAGTTTATATTTTGCTAGACATGATAATTATCTTTTAGTAATAAAGATATAATTGACTGTATTTCAACTATATGTACAAAAAATCATTATTTTACATGCCCTGGACCAGAATTGAACCTGGGACCCTTCAGTCCGCAGGCCAACACTCTATCCACTGAGCCAAACCAGCTAGGGCTCCTAGAAAAGTTTTAACTTGGTTCATCAATGACTTAGGCATTATAGACAATTTTTAATACCTTGCTTTTTCCTCTATGAAGGTTCAAGTGAACCTTTTGTCTATTGTGAAAGAATATAGTTTGCTCTTGTGTGCAAATTTCCCCACCCCACACTGTCATAGCCTGCTGTGTGCACATTACCCACTGCACCTGGTCATACTGCTTCTCTCCAGTAATATTTATGCATGGGTGTATGCATGGCATGGAAGTATTTTGGTTAGAAGTTGCTTTTCCCTTGTATGATATCATTGCATTAGAACTGGAGGGTTATTAAGACATGCCAAAATATTTCTGAACATATGTGATTTGTTGAGAGATGTGGATGATTTGGGATTGCTTTAGTGCATTTCATGTAGCTTCTTCTGCATTGCAATATAATGTAATGATGCAATGGTTTGTTGAGAGAAAATGCATTCACACAGTATTCTAGCACCTC